CTGCAGGATCCATCATGACAATGCATTTTCTTACAATTCTCTTCAGATGAAGATTTTGTTGCAGAAGCAACCATCTTTGAGCCCTAATAGAGTATCAACCCTCTAATAACGTGGACTAACTCTTTCAAGCTCTCCGGGATGAATGGGGTAAAAACCCCTGATATATATATATATATATATATATATATATATATATATATATATATATATATATATATATATATATACGCTATTCAGCAAGTGACACTTAAGTAACACATCCTGAAGCTGATTGTTTATATATTTGGTGACATTTGCAGGTGTCATACCAATTTCATGGACAGATTTTTCTCTATAGAATCAATGAAGAACAACAGGTTTGCGGGTGTTCTTGCTCTAAATTTGAGCAAATGATTAAAAAATGGATATCTACACCATTATTTTATTTTTCTGTACCATAAATCATGTAAGAGATATTATCTGGAATAAAAAGTATCATTTAACACTCCTTGGAGCTGTCATGTGGTAACAAATATACCTGAAATTAGAGGTGTGGCATCGATTTTTAATCAAAAGTGCAATGTGCTAAGATCTGCTGTGCAGGTGTTGATACTGATACATGTCAAATTGTTTTAGGTTAAATGTAACCTCTTTCAGTTTTGTGATTTATTTGATATTTAATATCTGATCATATTTATGCCCTTCATTAACAATACATGTTACGCATATCTTTTCGACAGACAAAAAGCAGTGCTTAAGTAATCAGGAATCAGGCGTGTATGTATTGTTCTCAAGTCTTAACTTTGGCCGTCCTCTCTCTCTCTCTCTCTCTCTCTCTCTCTCTCTCTCATGTGTACCTGTTCAATACAAAATAGTCGTGAATATTCCAATTGCCTCCTAATGTAAAATCATATCGGACGTAAGGTTTATTGTTTAAGAGCGAAATTCTGCTTGTTAAAATAGAGAGTTACAGGTTGGAGGATACCGCAGGGGCGGATCCAGGGTTATTTGAAGGGGGGTCTGGAACTACAGGCCTCGGGATCGAAGCAACCGTCGCCCCCTTGGTGTGGAGTTCGGAGCCTGCTCAAGGGCCCCGAAAATTTTGTGGGGTTTTGGAGAGCAAACAATGCCCTTTGGTACGGTTTAGAACTATGATTTAGCTAGTCAAAATTCTAATTTCAAGAGGGGTATATTGCTGTGATATATTTTTCGGAAACCGAAAGGGGGGCCAGGACCCCCCCCCCTGACCCCCCCCCCCCAAGGGGTAAAAATCATTTGTGTCTCCCTGTAAACTGTGTAAAACACTGTCAGCAAGCCCTCCCTCACACTGATGTTGTCATTGATTTGTATTGCTATATCACCGTACTATGGCTTGGGCACTTCGGACCAGTGTAAACGCAGGTACTTCCAACTTTGGATACCGAACGTTTCCCTACTTAACCTCGCAATAGAACATAAGCCAATGAAAATCTCCATAAGCGTATATTTTTGACCTTGACATAGCCATCGACATGTTAAACAGAAAGGGGTTCGGGCAGGCCAGTGACTTGCCATGGATACCTTTGTCCGCACAAGTAGGTACTAGTACACGGCTGAGTACAGATGCTTCGGTTGCGACGACGCCCTTCATTGTAACAGTTGAGCGAAACGACGTACAGCTAAAGAAATAGACGCTATAATTACATATTTGGAATAGAGGAGGGGTGGTCGCTCTATCTTCACGCACGAACGTTAATTACCCATTAGCTTCTCGAGGGCGCGTGTCAGGCAATTAAGCTGATTACACTGACTGCACTTTAATCCGTCAGAGATAGATCGATCCTGCTGATAGGATGACTTTATTGTGAACACTCGCTTAGAAACAACACGATTTTATGGAAATTGTTTTTTTTTTCTTTATGAACGAAATGTAGACGGTGAGTACCGGCAATTTGATGTGATTACATCAAAAATTGAAAAATGAAGAATTTTTCAAAAACTGTCAGTGGGCTTTACCAGGTTTATTCTAAAACTTTGATTTTTTACATGTAGAAAATAAACTTGATCCTTATGAAAATCGATAGGCTTCAACCTAGACCACTTACCAATCTACAAAATATTGCCCCTCTCGTTAAACAAAAATCTGACTTCAAAAAAACACCAAACGTTGTTTTGCACGTCGTAAGATAACTGTGCTGTAACAGAGAGTCAGTCTTTGTGTTTTTAAACTGGTGTAATGTGATTTTCCCTGGCTGTGGGGGTTGACAGGGTATAGCTCGGCATGCTATCGTGTATATCTGTCTTGTGGGCAGTGCATTATTTATTACATACTTCTAGTACCTACCTGGTACATATAACGCAGAACATTAAACCAATGGTGCGTATCATCGCTCTGGTATAAGGAGAAGAAACTAACAGTCGAGGAAAACAAAAAATGAAGTTCGACGAGATACTGGAGCACATTGGAGAATTTGGCAGAAGCCAGGCTTGGATTTTGTTCCTGCTTTGTATCCCACAAATAAGTGGTGCCTGGCAGATCGTAGTGGTGGTGTTTCTGCAGGAGACCCCAGACCACAGGTGAGATAATTAAATGAAATTAGTGTATAAATCCACTCGTGCTGAAATACACTGGCTCTGGCAGCTACATGGTGCACAAACTCGTAAATCTCAGTAAATTTTGGAACCGCGTGACAGCCAAATTGCTACGACGCTAAGATGTGTGATAGTCACGTGGTCTCAACAAGCGTGTTTTCTGGAACATTGAGAGAGAGAGAGAGAGAGAGGTGTACGTTAGTTTAGGCTATTGGGACACAGAACAGAAAGCTATGCATTCCTCGGCAATGCTTACATGTCGCCTTTTCACACATGTACTGCATATACACCAAAAAGGCTCACGTTGTTTGTCTTTGCATACATATCAATCGTTATTACCAAGTCATAAAAAATACGTATTTGTCTGAAAATAAAGAATAAGGTCTTTAGTGCTATGGCACATATTTAAACAGACGAACACTATGTTAGATCAAAAAGGGCCATCTCCATGCACTGTTAAACATACACATACCTATTTTTCTATAATCCTAAAGGTATCTTTTGATTTGGTCCAATCAAGAACTTTATATATTCTTAGCAGTCCCGAGGTGGTTAAACCATCAACAGCAGTAACCGGACAAAAAGAACCTTCATCGCGGCCAAAGACCAACGGAATTTTAATTGAAACCCCAAAATAATCTGCTTAAAGTTCAATTAAGGTTTATGGCACATTTCCGTGAAGTGCATGTAAAAGTTCTTGCTAGTGTATCCAAAGTACAATTACAGCATATAACATAATAAATGCATATTTTTGGTCGCTGACAAAAGTTAGTTGCCTGTCTTATGCCACAGAGAGTGAACTATGATTATAAAAAATAAAAAATGAATAAATCAATTAATAAAACGGACTTGTCCTCTGGAGAGAGAGAGAGAGAGAGATTTAATTTTGTGCAAAACAGGTTAACAAGGTGATTAATTATTCTGATACCGCAGACTAGTATAAGCCGTATAAGCTTGAACAGGTGGTGTACTAGAATAAGAATATTTATTTACCCTGCCACCACATCTGTGGACATCAGGAATCCATCACCGCCTGTAATGCGTTCTTTTCAGCATATATATCATAAAAATGGCCAGTTATATGTACATGTGTAATTCAGCAAAATATAAGTCTAGCCGTGTAGGTACGAAGGCTACCGATATACGCTCGTCACGTTTAGCTTTTGAGAACTGTATTGAGAACATCACTGTAATTGCACGTGTAATTTAAAACGATGGGGGAGTATAACAAGATACAGAAGTATTTTACCTTAATCTTTTAATAAAAAAAATGGCCAGAGTCGAATACATTTGCTCTTTAGCTACATAGAATTATAGATCTAGCAGATCAGGAGTATCGGCCGCTCTTTATCTCATTCTATATTTATGCTTAAATCTCCTCTAATGCATCGTTAAAGAAAACAGCTCAGATGCTAATGTACACTCTGACCACAGAACATGTAGTCTGTTAAAATTTATTCTATCGCCTATACTATTATTTTGTATACTAATTAAGATGCCCTTGAAATCAGAGTGTACACAGATACAATGAAATGTGTTCAGCGGTGATGGTCAGTCATGACTTTTGTCGAAATTAGAATAGGCCTATACACTCTTGGTCAAATAGGTTGTATCACCTTCATTCCTGTATGCTTTTAATTACAATTGACGACATGACAGACGTAACCCATTCTGAATTGTGTTTTTTTTATTCATAATATCATTTTAAACGTGGCTTGGGGTTAAGAAATTCCAAAATACCGGTGAAGATATCCATTAAACGGATTAAATCTCGGCTCTGAGGTTTAATTGCAAGGCCCCCGCAGCAACGGCGAGGGTGGAGGCGGGGAGGCCATGAGTGTATTAGTCGGCCATATTTAGTCCGAGGATCAACTTGTCCTGAATGCCCTCTATAAGGGCGTGCCACTATGTACCGTGTATTTTAATTATCTCCTATAAATATATACAGGCGACACGGTATGCCTCCAACAACGGTTACACGTCTGTTTTTGTAGGATATTATCCGATCCTTCCTGAATAGCTTGACATAGTATTTTTAAATTACCTGTGGTTGATTCTTCTCTGCATGGCGCAGGTACTAGTACTCAGTAGGATTAATATTCGAGCTCAAAACGGTCGTTTCTTCCTCAGAATATTCCGTTTTTGCAACAAATCAACCTACAGAAGAGAACCAACATGTGATCATTTTTAAACAAAATCACATAGGTGTAAAGGAGGGACAACTGTTTTGATCAAGAGTATAGAAGAATAAAAAGTGCAATTTCAATCAAATTATATACCACAGACATATTCTCTTTTAGATGCAGTCTTCCAGCTTTGGTGAATGATACTTTCTTATTTCAAAATCCCTGGCACGAGGCTCTGGTGAACCTAACTATCCCAGTCAACGACAAAGATGGCGGCTACGACAAATGTAGCTACTACCAGCAAACCGGCGACGGGAATACAACGGAAGCTGAATGTGATACCTGGGTGTATGACACATCAGTCTTCTCGAAGACTTTCCCAATGGACGTGAGTATGTGCTCAGAATACACCAAATTGTTCTGAATATGCACGTGAATTACACGTGCCCTATCCATATTTCCCTCCCAATTGAATTTCCCAATTGAAAAAAAGCTACCCACGCTACCCACGAATCATCGTTCTTTTTTTTTTTTTTTTTTAGTATATCATTTTAAGAGTTTAATACATTAGGAAAGATGTACAACATTTAGACAAAAAATATGACACCCGAGGAAGATTATTTAAGACTGATCTGCGGTTTTGTAAATTATAGTTCGTTACTCAACCTCTGCTGTGCCAATTTTATTCTTCTGTCTCTCCCAGCTCTTAGTCCATCTTTAACCCTCTTCTTTACTCGTGTTCCAATGGTTACCTGTATAGTTTCAGTTAGTTTGCAAAGACTCATCCAAGGTCCGAAGTATCCAAGTCATCTTTTTGAGTGCCGTACTCGTAGGATCCATTATTGGAGGAATTCTAGCTGACTAGTAAGCTGATCTATCACTCTTATTTATTTAATTTTGAGTTCCCACCTTAGTGCAATGACATGTTCCAGTACTTAAGGTTTGACTTTTAAATAATTGACTAATTATATAAAATCAATGGGGCAAATCGTTGCATTAAGAATCACCACACCATCTACAAAACATAAAATGAGTTAGGCGACAAATATTGTTTCCATATACTGAATAGTGTTCTTACCTTCATACTCAGATACATTATAATCTTCATTCATTTCAGCTGTGGTCGTAAGCCTGTATTTATCGTAGCCTGTCTTCTCCATGGAAGTGCCGGAGTGGCTGCTGCTTTCTCTCCCAATTTCACTGCCTTTGCCATCTTTAGGTTTTTGGTTGGATTGGCCAGTCCGAACATATTCGCGTCGGCCATGGTGCTTGGTAAATAAAATAATGTGATTTTATCTTTTAAATGAAGAGTATTTTGTCTTATATTAATCAGTGCTTTAACTGTGATCACCCTTCGTAAAAAAAAAAAAAAAACACTGTGTTTGTTGTAGGCCTATATTGTTTTAACATTTCCAATACCATTTTAAAGAGTATCAATTAATAAAGTTAAAATCCCAATCCTAGAGCTAGCTCTTGGGCTCGAAGGTCTTTGAGAATCATAAATTGATAAATTTATTTATTGTTTCAGCCTTGGAACTTGTGGGTCCCAGCAGACGAATGGTGGCAGGTTTAGCTCCCGAATTTGCTTGGTGTACAGGCTTGGTTCTTCTGACACCTCTTGCTTACCTCATAAGGGACTGGCGATATCTTCAACTGGCTGTATCTGTCCCTTCCTTCCTGTATATTTCTTTATGGTGGTGGGTATGATCTCGTTAAATAATCATCTTAATTTGATCAGTTACAGGAAGAGCAAAACGCGCCCGGAACTCATTGGAAAACTTTAGGTAAAATTATATGAAGTATATTACCCGGTATATAGGATTACATCAATAGAAGCCATATTCGCCTTGTGCCATTCTTACCAATTTACTTGCAATTGTATTCTCTGGTGCTGTGAACACTGTATACTGAATCGGAATAGATTACTGAATCGGAATAGATTGTTTTAGTTAGTCGTCTTGTTTTACGACCTGAAGGCCTTTTCAGATTCTTTTCGTGTAGGCTCATACCAGAATCCCCTCGTTGGTTACTAACACGGGGTCACACAGAGAGGGCAGAGAAAATCCTACGCTGGGCCGCCAAGGTGAACAAGAAAACCCTTCCTGCTAATATATTTGACGAGAAAACACTCGAGAAAACGGAATATGTGAGTCCGCTGGAGATGCGCAAGACTCCAAGGCTCCTTCTACGAACCTTGACTGGGATGTTTGTCTTGTAGGTTTAGCCAAGGAGTTATAACAGAAGGAGATTACNCTCTCTCTCTCTCTCTCTCTCTCTCTCTCTCTCTCTCTCTCATGTGTACCTGTTCAATACAATATAGTCGTGAATATGCCAATTGCCTCCTCATGTAAAATCATATCGGACGTAAGGTTTATTGTTTAAGAGCGAAATTCTGCTTTTTAAAATAGAGAGTTACAGGTTGGGGGATACCGCAGGGGCGGATCCAGGGTTATTTGAAGGAGGGTCTGGAACTACAGGCCTCGGGATCGAAGCCAACCGTCGCCCCCTTGGTGTGGCGTTCAGGGCCTGCTCAAGGGCCCCGAAAATTTTGTGGGGTTTTGGAGAGCAAACAGTGCCCTTTGGTACGGTTTAGAACTATGATTTAGCTAGTCAAAATTCTAATTTCAAGAGGGGTATATTGCTGTGATAAATTTTTCGGAAACCGAAAGGGGGGCCAGGACCCCCCCCCCCCCCGACCCTTAACCTCGCAATAGAACATAAGCCAATGAAAATCTCCATAAGCGTATATTTTTGACCTTGACATAGCCATCGACATGTTAAGCAGAAAGGGGTTCGGGCAGGCCAGTGACTTAACATGGATACCTTTGTCCGCACAAGTAGGTACTAGTACACGGCTGAGTACAGATGCTTCGGTTGCGACGACGCCCTTCATTGTAACAGTTGAGCGAAACGACGTACAGCTAAAGAAATAGACGCTATAATTACATTTTTGGAATAGAGGAGGGGTGGTCGCTCTATCTTCACGCACGAACGTTAATTACCCTCTAGCTTCTCGAGGGTGCGTGTCAGGCAATTAAGCTGATTACACTGACTGCACTTTAGCGAGAATCCCTCAGAGATAGATCGATCCTGCTGATAGGATGACTTTATTGTGAACACTCACTTAGAAACAACACGATTTCATGGAAACTGTTTTATTTTCTTTATGAACGGAATGTAGACGGTGAGAACCGGTAATTTGATGTGATTACACCAAAAATTGAAAAATGAAGAATTTCTCGAAAACTGTCAGTGGGCTTTACCAGGTTTTTTCCAAAACTTTGATTTTTTACATACAGAAAATAAACTTGATCTTTATGAAAATCGATATGCTTCAACCTAGACCACTTACCAATCTACAAAATATTGCCCCTCTCGTTAAACAAAAATCTGACCACAGAAAAAAAACACCAAACGATTTTTTGCAAGTAGTAAGATAACTGTGCTCTAACAGAGAGTCAGTCTTTGTGTTTTTAAACGGGTGTAATGTGATTTTCCCTGGCTGTGGGGGTTGACAGGGTATAGCTCGGCATGCTATCGTGTATATCTGTCTTGTGGGCAGTGCATTATTTATTACATACTTCTAGTACCTACCTGGTACATATAACGCACAACATTAAACCAATGGTCCGTATCATCGCTCTGGTATAAGGAGAAGAAACTAACAGTCGAGGAAAACAAAAAATGAAGTTCGACGAGATACTGGAGCACATTGGAGAATTTGGCAGAAGTCAGGCTTGGATTTTGTGCCTGCTTTGTATCCCACAAATAAGTTGTGCCTGGCAGATCGTAGTGGTGGTGTTTCTGCAGGAGACCCCAGACCACAGGTGAGATAATTAAATGAAATTAGTGTATAAATACACTCGTGCTGAAGCACACTGGCTCTGGCAGCTACATGGTGCACAGACACTTAAATCTCGGTAAATTTTGGAACCGCGCGACAGCCAGGTTGCTACGACGCTAAGGTGTGTGATGGTCCTAAAAGGCGTGTTTTCTGAAACATTAAGAGAGAGAGGGAGAGAGAGAGAGAGGTGTACGTTAGTTTAGGCTATTGGGATACAGAACAGAAAACTATGCATTCCTCGGCAATGCTTACATGTCGCCTTTTCACACATGTACTGCATAAACACCAAAAAAGGCTCGCGTTGTTTGTCTTTGCATACATGTCAATCGTTATTACCAAGTCATAAAAATACGTATTTGTCTGAAAATAAAGAATAAGGTCTTTAGTGCTGGCCTCTATGGCACATATTTAAACAGACGAACACGATGTTATATCAAAAAGGGCCATCTACATGCACTGTTAAACATACACATGCCCAATTTTTTAAATAATCCTAAAGATATCTTTTGATTTGGTCCAATCAGAGGTTTCTAATTTCTTAGCAGTCCCGAGCTGGTTAAACCATCAACAGCAGTAACCGGACAAAAAGAACCTTCATCGCGGCCAAAGACCAACAGAATTTTAATTGAAACCCCAAAATAATGTGCTTAAAGTTAAATTCCGGTTTATGACACATTTCCGTGAAGTGCATGTACAAGTTCTTGCTAGTATATTAACAGTACAATTACAGCATATAACATAATAAATGCATAATTTTTGCCGCTGACTATGATTATAAAAAAAAAGATAAAAAAAATTATAATAAATGAATAAATAAATGAGTAAAACGGACTTGTCCTCTGGGGAGAGAGAGTTATTTAATTTTGTGCAAAACAGGTTAACAAGGTGATTAATTATTCTGATACCGCAGACTTGTAAAAGCCGTATAAGCTTGAACAGGTGGTGTACTAGAATAAGAATATTTATTTACCCTGCCACCACATCTGTAGACATCAGGAATCCATCACCGCCTGTAATGCGTTCTTTTCAGCATATATATCATAAAAATGGCCAGTTATATGTACATGTGTAATTCAGCAAAATATAAGTCTAGCCGTGTAGGTACGAAGGCTACCGATATACACTCGTCACGTTAAGCTTTTGAGAACTGTATTGAGAACATCTATTGTAATTGCACGTGTAATTTATAACGATGGGGGAGTATAACAAGATACAGTAGTGTTTTACCTCAATCTTTTAATTAAAAATGGCCAGAGTCGAATACATTTGCTCTTTAGCTACATTGAATTATAGATCTAGCAGATCAGGAGTATCGGCCGCTCTTTATCTCATGCGACATTTATGATTAAATCTCCTCTAATGCATCGTTAAAGAAAACAGCTCAAATGATCTGTACACTCTGACCACAGAGTGCGCTAGTACATTATTGTATCGCCTATACTATTATTTTAGGATGCCCCTGAAATTAGAGTGTACGTAGATACAATGAAATGTTTTCAGCGGTGATGGTCAGATATGACTTTTGTTGAAATTAGCATAGGCCCATACACTCTTGGTCAAATACATGTAGGTTGTATCACCTTCATTCCTGTGTGCTTTTAATACAATTGAAGACATGACAGTCGTTATCCATTCTGAATTGTTTTTTTTTTTAAATTCATAATATCATTTTTAACGTGGCTTGGGGTTAAGAAAGTCCAAAATACCGGTGAAGATATCCATTAAACGGATTAAATCTCGGCTCTGAGGTTTAATTGCAAGGCCCCCGCAGCGACGGCGAGGGTGGAGGCGGGGAGGCCATGAGTGTATTAGTCGGCCATATTTAGTCCGAGGATCAACTTGTCCTGAATGCCTTTGTTGCGAATACAAAAACATAATTTTCCGGTGGAGGTATAAACATTTATTTACACACGTCTTGACACAAACTGATGACGGTGAACTGAAATAATTGAAACAAATGAAACAAATGAAAGTAACAGAATAAACAAATATAAATTTCAACTTAATACAAGTATCACAATAAAGAAATTACAATAAAACACATAGATAAAATAACTAAATACATACATAACAATGCTGCCTCCACTCATTCGCGTACAGTACTAGGCGTGTTCCAACCACGACAATACATGGTGACGTTTTATTACTACTCAACAGAACACCAATCATCCAACATATGAGGGCGCCACTCACACCAAGACGAGACAACACAAAGTAAACATGACAAACAACACAAACAAATGAAACAAAAATTGCCGACGACACTGTCGGCAACACTCAGCCAACAAAAAAAAAAAAAAAAAAAAATTACTGTCTTCAGTTCTTAATAGAATTATCATACTCAATACTTAATTTAAAAGACAGAATCTAGAAAGTGTCCACTTGTTTATCTTAGACAAATCCTTAAACATCTAAACATCTCCTTCTAACAACACCAGTTTAGAGATCGGTCTCACAAAAGTTGACGAATTGGTACGCACAGAAGCGCTTCTTACCAAGCCATCTCTGCCGATCTTAACAGATTCAACAATCGCCAAAGGCCACAGTCCTCTGGGCATAGATGCATCTACAATAAGTACGAGATCACCTAC